TAGGGGTATTCATGGTTTGGATAAATCGATCCAAACCGAATCAAATCAATTAAATAAACTGATTTAATTTGGGTTTGGTTTAGTTTGGTTTTAGATTTTTAAAAATCGATAGTATTTGGGTTGATTATATTTTTTTTATTAAAAAAAAACATAAGAAATAACTGAACCAAACCGAACCGACAAATTATATACATATATTTTATTATTATACATACATAACATATTATTTTTATTAACAATTTTAAAGATCTTATATATGTTTTTATCAAAATTTATTTATAATTTACTTATGAAAGCAAAAATGCCCAAGGTGAGAATATTTATCTTATTGATTTCATGTATATGAGTGTCTATGATTAAAATGTCACCGTCTCTTCCTTCTAGGCCAAAATAACAAATTTTGAAGTTTTATTCATAGTAAATTCAATGTTGAAAGTTATGTAATGTCAGTCTTTCTACTATTTTCGTTTTGAATGGATTGTTGTCACTTTTTTTCACGTTTTGAATGAACTGTTTCTTTTATTTTTATCTATGATTAATAACCGAAAACCAGATCAAATCGAACCGAAACCGATAACAATCAAATCGATAAATATATTTTATAATTGGTTTGATTTGGTTTAGATAATTTTAAAACCGATTATATTAGTTTGGTTTTAATTTTAACCAATAACCGATTCAAATCGATCTGTGAACACCCCTATAATGATAGGATAGAGATTTCATACAACTATTGTATGTTTATTTATTCTTTATTATTACTCATACCCTTTTTATCCTTTCCTTCTTTGATTTATATAAACAATAATTAGTGCAAATATTAGTTAATGCAAATATTAGTTGAGGATGATCGGGGGTCCTGTCCCGACATCCCTCTTTGTTTTAGAGGCTTCGTAGACAGTTAGTAGTCAAACGTCTTTATATTATCATTTCATATGTTAAGACTTGAATTGTCATTTTGGCCAAGTTGAATGTTGACCATTAAACATTCTGAGTTATTTCACTAAAGTTATTGGAGTAAGTTCATTTGATTATAGTAAAATGTTTAGAGTCTTCCGCTGAGCCAGTAAGCAAGGCCAAGGGTTCGCTTGGGGCCAGCAATGGTCTTCGAATGATGATCACGTCCAGGATTTAAGCTCAGGGCGTGACATTAAAACACTTGACCTATATTGATGATTACTTTACTAAAAATTAATGAAGCGGAGCAACTTCCATTAAAAACAAGTCACTTTTGTAATGATTATTCTCTTATTATATAAGAGGGAGTTTATGATGGGACATTGTGATGTCCAATCATAAACTCCCTATATAATATATAATATATAATATAATAAATCATTTTTTCTACTATATAATATATATTTATTTTTCTACTATAAGGGAGTTTATATAATATATAATAATATAATATAATAAATCATTTACAAATGACTTAAAATATTTCATATTTAAAGGATATTCTCTTATTATATAAGAGGGAGTTTATGATGGGACATTGTGATGTCCAATCATAAACTCCCTATATAATATATAATATATAATATAATAAATCATTTTTTCTACTATATAATATATATTTATTTTTCTACTATAAGGGAGTTTATAATATAATATAATAAATCATTTACAAATGACTTAAAATATTTCATATTTAAAGGATATATAATAAAATAGGTTCACTCTCAAAATTCTATCCGGGTCACATATATTGGGACAGAAAAAATAACATATATCATTTTAAAATTACCAAAAAAGTATTATAAATAATAATAATTAACAACTTAAAATATCTTAAAGACATTTTAAAAAGGTTAATTTTGTAATTGTAATTTCTACTATATAATAAAAGGGAGTTTATATAATATATATTCTACTATTATATAGTATCATAATAAAACCCCTTTTATTATATAGTAGAAATAAATAATATATATATATATATATATATATATATATATATATATATATATAAAATATAATATATAATAATATAATATAATAAATCATTTACAAATGACTTAAAATATTTAATATTTAAAAGATATATAATAAAATAGGTTGACTCTCAAAATTCTATCCGAGTCACATATATTGGGACAGAAAAAATAACATATATCATTTCAAAATTACCAAAAAAGTATTATAAATAATAATAATTAACAACTTAAAATATCTGAAAGACATTTTAAAAGGGTTAATTTTGTAAGTTTATCCAAATCACATAAATTAGGACAAAGTGACCAGCAATGTAAGTTATTTGAAAGTTACATAAAAATATTATAAATCACAATAATTAATAACTTAGAACATTTTTTTTTAAAATGCAAATTTGGATGACTCTTCAAATTTCATTTGTGTCACATAAATTGAGACAACAAAAATAACATATATTGCGCCCATTTTAATTTATTTGTCTTAATTTTTTTTTATATTTAAAAATTGCGTAAAAATACTATAAATCATGATAATTGACAACACAAAATATTTCAAAAATAAATACATATAAAAAAATTCGATTAATTCTTGAAATTAATCTATCGTTAAAAATTATGTATAAAATACAATAAATCGTGATTTTGACCACTTAAAATATTTATTAAAAAAACAGAAAAAATAAATTGACTGATTCTTAAAATTAATCTATCAATGTCACATAAATGAGACAAAAGTAGTAATATGTATTGTTTAATGTGAAATTATTGAAAACTACGTAAAATGTATTATAAATGTTAACAATTAACAACATTTGATTGAATCTTGAAATTTTATCAATGCTACATACATTGAGACAAGTGGAGTAATATATATTAAGTATTTAAAAATTACGTACAACCATATTGCTTTCTGTAGGATTCGAATTATCGTGGTCATTTTTTAGGCTGATACAAGTTTTGTACTTTTTTTTTAATATTATAAATCGCAATAATTAATAATTTAAAATATTTTGAAAAATATATTAAAAATTTAGTTGGTTTCAGGAATTTTATTTATACTATATAAAATGGGACAAAGAAAGCAACATATATCATTTACAAATGACTTAAAAAGCATTAAAAATTAGAATAATTACCAATTTAAAATATTTAAAAGCTATATAATAAAATAGGTTCACTCTCAGAATTCTTTCAGGCTCACATATATTAGGACAGAAAAAATAACACATATCATTTTAAAATTACCAAAAAAGTATTATAAATAATAATAATTAACAACTTAAAATATCTGAAAAACATTTTAAAAGGGTTAATTTTGTATTTTTATCCATATCACATAAATTAGGACAAAGTGACCAGTAATGTTGGTTATTTGAAAGTTACATCAAAATATTATAAATCACAATAATTAATAACTTAAAACATTTTTTAAAAAAATAAATAAATTTGGATGACTCTCCAAATTTTATTTGTGTGACATAAATTGAGACAACAAAAATAACATATATTGGGTCCATTTTAATTTATTTGTCTTATTTTTTTTTGGGTTTTTTATATTTAAAAAATGCGTCAAAATATTATAAATCATGATAATTGACAACATAAAATATGTTTTGAAAAAAAATACAAAAAATTCCACTCATTCTTTAAGTGAATCTATCGTAAAAATACTATAAATCATGATAATTGACAACATAAAATATTTCAAAAATGTTGTATGTGGATAGTCTTATTGTGCCTTGAATAGCGTCAAATAAAGTACAAGTTTGTGATAAAAAAAACTTATTCCTTTATCCACGCAAACAATCGCTTCAAAATCTCCGTTATTAGCCCCAAAACATACCATTTATATTATTGGGCCCGTACCCGTGCATAGCACGGGCAACATTACCTAGTATATATATAAACTGTCAACACATGATATATATTAATTTATTTCGTGTAATGCAAACATACATATGAACGTTTTTATGTTTTTCTTAGTATTTCTTTCTTTAAAATACAAATTAATCTAATGAATTTAGCTTTAAAAAAAGATAAAGTTACTATTAAAAAACAAAATGTAATAACTATTTTGAAACGAGGGGAGTATTCATTCTTTTATTAGGTACACAGTATAATATCTAGGAGAACAGATACCTGCTTCTAGATATTCGAGCATAATCCTATTTTTATTTTGCTGTATAGTTATAATCATGAATCCACTATATATTATATAAACATATAGTAGGCAGCAGTCCCATTTATAATGTATCGATTCCATTTAGTCACAGGGGAGGACAAGTGGAACAACCTTTTTTGCGGTGTCTCTGAATGGTTTGAGCAAATTAATTTTACAAAATACTTAATATCTCTCATCAGTACAATTATCAACAATTGTATTCATCTAATCTCAAATGTTCATTGTACAATATCTCGACTATTTTAAAAAATTTGACTAATTGCTCTTCCGACCTGAAGTGGATTCTATGGGAAGGGCAGAGCTCACCCTTGCGGTAGGACCAAATTTTAAGAGGTGAAAATAAGTCACTTATAATGCATTATTTAGTACGCATGAAAATATTTTCTCATGTTTGCTTTGTTAAAATTTTTGAAGAATATATTTGATAGGAAAATAAGTTCCTTTTCTGGAAAGAGAATGAAAGTAAAAATAATAAGCTCTATACATGACATTACACATTAATTATCTGTTTTCCACCATTCAACACTTCCACCCCCTAATATACTTACTACTATTTAACAAGGTTGAAAATCTAAATGAAAATTATTATCTCTAATTTTATTAATCATTAATCAAATGACTTTAAATAGATATATTAATATAACTCTTTTCATAATTAAGAAACTAAATAATTGATTGAATCAATTATTCTAAGAAATATGTAACAATAACAAGATGCAACATTCAATGAAATTCCCTTGTAGATCATATTGTTCATGTTGTTTGATTATGGCATAAATGTTTTTCCTTTATCAGTTCAACTATTTCTTCTTCAACAAACTTGGAATGCAAGGTAAATAGGAATATAAAATTAATCACCTATGATTCAAAATTCTAATATTATTAAAAAAAAAGTGAGGGAAAAGATAACAGCGTTACACCCCCCACAATATTTAGAGCCCGAATGAAAGGCTCAAAACCAGGGCTATTTCAAATAAAACCATAAAATACAAGTAATTAAAGCCAACTCTTAATTAGTTGTCACAGTTTAACTTTTGCTTAATTAGTAAGGCACAGGGAGAGCTTTTGGCATGGCTTCATGAACTGCATTGATCGGAATCGTCTGAAACTTGCAATCAACCGATAAAAATTGATTATCTTCCATGGAAATTGTTTTGATTATCTGAAGCAGAATGTGTTCTTGCTCTTCTCCATCACTCCACCCATGGATCTCTGCTTTTACGAGATCGCGATTTTCATTTATTAATTTCCAGACAGGGAAATCTTTCCTTGGCATAACGAAATCTTGCTCTTTCAGCTTCAAGCTTGGACAATAATCTCCTGCTCCGTCACCGAGATAAATCATTCTTTTCTTCCCTTCCTTAGCCAATGAAGCTTGTATTCTTTCTATTACTAGTCCCTGTTAAGTGTTTAACACACAAAAAATTATACACTAGAATATTGATTTGATTCAAATAAAGAGGAAATTTTTCTGGGCTTTTGGTAAGAAAGTAACTACTCTATTTTTTTCATTCTGTGGGGACATAGATTATGGTAAACGTGAAGCTGAGGTCGGGTACAAAACGTGAAGACATAATAAAATCAGCATATTCGAATAATCCTAAGTACTTCCCCATTCCAACTTTACGTGACTCTTTGAATTTCGAGAGTAAAACAATTTTTTTATCACATTTTTTAACATCTCTTCTAATTTTTTAATTATGTGACATATAGTACTTCTTATCTAGTTTCCAAATATATATTTAAAACCCTAAAAAATATATGCCTCAATTGACAAACAAAATTAGGAAATTAGAACTGTCACATAAATTGAAACAAAAGATGTATCTCGTGTTTTACCTTGCACATGTTGGGAGGGCAAGTATTGGAGCTGCAGCCATGAGAGGAGGTGTGAAAATCATGGTGAGGACGGATTCTAAGTTTTCCTTCTTCATCAACGTATCCCGGATTTGTGTTGATCTCCGTGAAGCAATCACTTATTCCTAGATGTTTCAAAATCGTCTCGATGTAGAAGAGATTTGCATCGCTTACAATCCTCAAATCACACCTGAAACAACAATGCGCATTTAGTTTGAGTAAATCCAATTTTCACAAAACTAAAACAAATTAATGTACATATACTAACCCTAAAGCATGAGCAGCTTTAATGGCGGGAACAACCCGAGGGATTACGGGTGCCCGTTTCAGTACTTGTTCAATGTCCTTAATAGTTTTGCCTTGTTCATGAAGTTCCTTCATCATCCTATCCTGTAATTTGTTGAACAGATAACAGTTAAATCAAGCGATTTAATTAGACATAATAGAAGTATAAAATTAAGGAGAAAACTTACCATAACAGAGTTCCAAGGCATGGTAGGAAGAAGCTGATTGAACAAATCAGTAGCACCTAATTCATCCACCACCCAATTATCGCTATCCAGATCGATAATCGTCTTGTCAAAATCGAAAACCACAACAATTCCAGACATTTTTTTTTCGATCGAATCGAATGAGTTTTGAGAAATAAAACAGAGAGATAAAAATTCCCTTCTCTGAATACAAAAGATTGTTTTGAGTTTGAAGTAATGAGAACTTAGAGAAGAAGAGGCCCCTTTATATAGTGGAAGATTGAGTTACTAAAAAAAAAAAGCCAAGTAATATTAGCCATTGGATTAACTACTAATTTTGATTAACGCAGCTGATTAAGGGGAAATAAAGAGCGGGAATATGAGAGAATATTCGAAGGTAGGAACTTCAAATGCATTTTTGCAGCTTTAGATGGAATATTCCGATTTTGGGTTCCTTCTCGGCGGGCAAACCTCTAAGGCTAAATCTGTAATTTTGCAATTGTTGTTTTTCCCAAGTTGAAACGGATTATGCTTTAGATTTTGTTTCCAAACAACTACTACTATCTTTTGTTTATTTCTTATTACATCAATTAATAGATATGTAGTGAATCTAAGGGGTCAATGGTTTGGTTTGATTAATTATTTTTTATATATTATTTATAAATAATTAATTTTATTTAAATTATGTTATAATGATGTGTATAGGATTATTTTGTTTGTATTTTATCAAATTTTAATATAATTTATGACATCATTTCACAAAGATTTGAAAAAGCTATGCTACAAATATATTTTGACTGCAATTTAAAAGAATTAAATAGATAATAATTCATTTTAGCCTCTTAAATAGTTTTTTTTTTATGATAGTAGACCACTAAGACAAATGATCCTAAAGCTCAAATTTTAAAATAAGGTTTGAAAAACAAGTCATCTTTGTAACGATAAGAATAAGTATACGCTAAATTGTTAACGTTTGATATATATTAGCTTATTTGCATAAATTCAAATATAAATTTTAATTGGTTTTGCAGATAATATACATTATTATCTTTCTTTTTTAATCTTATGTTCTTTTTATAATAGATCTTCATTTTTATGCAGAAGAGATGTAAAAATATATTATTATTTTTCAATTCGTAAATGACCAAGAGATCTCGTCTCCTTCCGGTGGCAAGAATTATGGAATAAGCTCCTCGTACAAATTATTATTCTTGATATACACAAATTATATATAGAATTACAGGAGCAACACTACGTGGCACGTTAAATATTCATTCTTGATTAGGCAGAGTACAATAATATTTAGGAGCACATATGCTTGCTTCTAGATATTCTAGCATAATTCTATTTTCATTTTGCTCACGTTATATTCATAATCCATTAAAAATATATAGTACGCAACAGTTCCAATAATGTATCGATTCGATTTTTAGTTATAGGAGAGGACAAGTGGACGGTGTTTTGGTTGGCTTGGCCGTATTTAGATTAATTTATGAAATTTATTATTTTTCATCAGCAAATATATAAATCGCTTTGTTGATCACATAACTATCAAAATTTTAAAAAGATAGGGCGGGGAGGGGGGGGACCACTTAGCTAGGGTGTACTATTTTACATGGAACTTCAAAGCTTGTTTTGGGGGCTTTTAATATCGATATTAGTACTATTCATGTCTTAATATGTTCTCGCATGGTTTGTTAAATTTTTTGGAGAATATTTAATGTGAAAAAACAAGTTGTTTGAAAATGAAAAACTATTCTAATGTAAGTAAAGAAAACAAGTTTTATAAATGACATTACACATTAATTATCCATTCTCCAACCTCTAACACCTCTACCCCACCTCCATCTCCATAACTAAATATTAGGAAAAATAAAAATATTTTTCATTTTTATCAAACACATCTTTAATTAATATTTTGTCTCTGTTAAAATTTATGACTCACATTGTTTATTTTAGAGATAATCAAAAGGTGGTCGATAGCTTTATTTTTCCTATATTCAAGGATGGATATGACATAATGGCAATTTGTTTCAACACTATTAGCGTGATTTATGAAACGCATTTTATTGCAAAAATTACAAGCAACAGCTTGACAATATGAACTATTGACCTTTTGCTAAACAGGCAATATTCTTTGCAATTTTGATTTAATTATAATTTCTCTCATATTTTGTGGAAGAATAGAACGTTTTAATTATGTGACTGCAATGGTTGTTTAAATTAATGGTCATCATTAAAACAGAGGTAATAAGACTAAAATAAATATTTTTTGGATTCTTCATAGACCTAGCTAGAAGTGAAAAAACAAAAAAAAAAAGAAGAAGAGGAAATTAAAGGTACTTTTGTTAAAACTAACACGTCTACATTACATTGTTTCTACGCGACAAAATAAAGGGAGGAACTTTTGTTTTCTTTCCTTTTTCGAAATATCGATGGTGATACTTTATAATTGATGAGTATGATTATCAGTATCTGACGTTATTGAGCCGATTAATACATATTGATATCGTGTAAAGCCTTTTAAAGGAAAAAAAAAGATATTTCGTACAAGAAACTTCTCCAATTCATTAATCCTTCTCAAATATATCTCCATCCTATTAAAAGTTTAAATTTGTGATTTCTGCTTAAAGATTATTCGATTATATTCATTTTACCGCAGTATTTTTTTTAGTGGTGGTTGATTGAGTTAAACTTAGAGCTTCTTGGTCATTGACAATCTAGCTACTCACAAGAAAATCCAACATATAATAAAGTTTATATATATTGTTGTTCCCTCACGCTCGACACAAATAAGGTTTCTATTCAAAAGTTAAAAAAAAAAAAAAAAGACTCCTTATGATTTAACTCCACCTAAAAATTTCTTGGTTCAAAGTGAGTTGGGTAAATACAAGTCAACAAATATGTTAAAATCAAATCTGACCAATTCAAATGCTTTGTTATAAACAACATTCCTTTCTTTTTCTTTATATAAAGATAAATAAATAAATAGTACTAGTATGCTGATTTTGACACACATAATAACAACCTAACCAATTATAAAAAGCTAAAGAAGCACATTCCAAGAATTGTACGTATCAAAATTTACTTTTTAAACACTACTTTCTTATTAAAGATCTCATCTATAATTATTGAACTTTATTATTATTATTATTATTATTTTAAAAAGGAAATTATTTAAAGTCGATAGCGTAAGACAACTTTTTGTTGGCCTGTAATTCCCATCTTTAATTGGTGCTAAATTTACGCTTCATGATACTGTGGGATCTGATGATCTGATTATGGAATGATATTTTTCTTTTTAGTGTTTTTTTCGTTCCGTGATTGATATATATTGAAGTTCAATTTAATTTGAATTCGTGCATTGCATATGTTATTTTATGTAATTTTACTCTCAACAAGATTTTTTTTTTCATTCTCGTGAACTCGAATTCCAGACAATTCATGTTAGTATCATGAAATGATATTTTACTCAAAGCTGTCGATAAGGCCTCCAATTAGATGGCGTTATAATCTAGTACTAATTATATTCTAGTATACAATTTACAGAGTATATAATCTACAACTAACTAATTTAAAGATATTTAAAAAAGGTCTAGTTACGGTTAATTAAAACATTGGTTGACAATTCTTATTAGAAACAACATTGTTTTATAAGAACGAAGAGTTGGTTCCAGCAGGAAAAAAAGATAATTCAAATTAACACATTATAAATTGGGATTGTGCATGGTTGCGTACGCAACACAAATTAATATAATTTTTTGGCTGCTTATGACAATGATTAGATCTTTTGACCAGAAAAAGGTTTGAAGATTAGGTGTGACTCAATTCAACATCATCAAAGGTTTTCCTTCTAGTTAAGGGGTGCATTCCATTTTCAGTTTGGTGTTGTACTATTTGGTTTTTGATTTTTTCTAGTTATGTTAATTGATTATGTCAATAATTAGAAACATAAATCAAAGTTATATTTGTATTGAAGAAATATATGTGTGTGTGAAATTTGTTTTTTTGGTTTTATTTTTCTAAATTTGAAATCCAACCAAAAAAAAACAAACAAAGTAAATTTTATTAATCCAAAACAAAAACATAAAACCAATCCAAATTAGAATTCGGTTCGATTTGATTTGGTTTCTCGATTTAATCCAAATAGTGTACACTCCTACTTGTAGGGGTAGTTTTCGAACAATTGAATGTTAAGCTCGGTTGACTTAGCTGATTAAAAGTAACTTATAAGTAGGGATGGAGCTAGAAGTCCGAATTGTGTATGAGTTCGATCGAGCCAGTAACTTTTGCTTAATTTGTACAAATATACTATTTGAGCAAAATTTTATTAAATATGTACAAACTTCTTAATATAAATACACTATATATCATATATAACTAAGCACAATTTATTGAAAGCCTTCGATTTCTTAAGGGCAAGTGAATTTTTAAAGGGTTTGTTTAAACTAGAAATATCATATAATATGAATCGTAAAAAAATATATTTTCTTTCTATAAATTGAGAGTAGGAGAAGGAAAAATGAGGATGGGTTGGAGTATTACACAATGAAAATTAAAATCCTTGTAAATAAAATTAAAATTAAAATAATCAATCAATTGAAGTACTAGATTTTTCTATCGCAAATATTTAGGGTTAGTCTCCTATATTAATGAGGATGGATCATGATGACGAGTGCAAAGGTTTTTGGTCAAGACATTACAATAATTATGGGTGTTACGTGCATTGCAATATCTCATAAAGTAGTGGCAATAATTAACTTAATTAATTTGTGTATCGAAAGGTTTTAACTGATTTTGACGTACGGAAACACGACAATGCATATAATAAGAAGAAGAAGAAAAAAATATAATTAGTGCCTGCTTTTTTCCCCATAGCTTTAGGCCTTTAATTATGTCACTCACATCATCATTATTATTATTACTACTACTGATGTTGTTATTATTGTTAAATAGTATTAGTTTTTCGTCTCGATTTATATAATATCATTTAATTTGATACTAAGAAAGAAGGAAACAATTTCGATATGTATTCTAACTTCTAAAACATTTTGTGACCATTTGTGTGGTCATAAACTATTTTAATAATGTTAAAAGAAAAAATTAAGTTAATTTTTTTTTAATTATAAAAATAAAAAGTTTATCACAAAAGTGGGACAGAAAAATACTACGCACTCCATTTTTTAACATGATAAAAGACATCAGTACATAATGT